CCGCGCGTCTTTAAAAAGGGTGCGTTTGGAGGTGGCCCAAACCTAACCCGAGCTCCTTTCCAATCAGTGCCGTTTCAAAGCTCCAGGCTCGTTCATTCCTGTACCGGCTAATTCTGGTTTGGCAGAAAAAAAAAAAGAAAGAAAATTGCAGTCACCTCACGTGCACACTCTTGTGGCCGGTCGTAGTTTATAGCTGCGGCTGAGGTTCCCTAATGCTCTGCACACTTTCACAGCTGAAGGCCAGGGCCCGAAACCCAACCCCAGGGGCAGGGGACAATCGGTGTGCCTTCCCTTTCTCTGGGACAGGAGGTACGCGAGGAAAAAGCCCCCCACCGAGGGCTGAGCCACAGCATTTGGCAGTTCGCAGATGGCCCAGGAGGGCAGGACCCGCAGTATTCTCGGCCAGAGGCCTGGAGCTCCTGATCCTTCGGCCCATGCTGGATCCCTGGCTCGCTGCTTTTCCTCCAGGACCTGCAGGTTTGTTCTTCCTTACGTTGGTTCATGGGCACCGGGCACAAATTTCATTTCCACGTGCGACTCCCCTGTTCCCAGCACAATGCTTTGCCCATGGGAAGTGTTCGATATCTGTGAAGGGAAAGCTGGGATAAAGGCAGCCAGGGCTGTTTTACCTGACTGAAGGCTTTTGTACTGTGGTAGTTTCCTGTTGCTCTTGTAATAAGTTATCACAAACTCAGGGGCTGGAAACAGCACAGCTTTATTATCTTGGGGCTCTGGAGGTCAGAAGTCTGAAAGTTCTAGCTGGCTAACCTCGCGGTGTTGGCAGGGCTGTGTTCCTACTGGCAGCTCAAGGCAAGAGCCCCCAGCTCCTTGGCTCATGGCTACTTCCTCCGGCTCCAAAGCCAGCAATGTTACATCATTGTGTGCCTTTCCCCCATAGTCACGCCACCTCTGCCTCTCCTAGTCTGCCTTTCCCACTTTCAAAGGCTCTTTGCATTACACTGGGCCTGCTCAATGGTGATTGGCTTATTGGATAATCCAAATAATCTCCCTGTTTTAAGGTCAGCTGATTAGCGATCTTAATTCCACCTGTGACCTTAATTCCCCCTGTGCCGTGTAAGGTAACCTACTCACAGGGTGCAGGGATTAGGATGTGGACACCTTTGAGGGACTGTCACTCTGTCCACCACAAATTTCCTTCTTTTCTTGTTGGGTTTGTTTGTTTTTTGTTTTTGTTTTTTGCAAAAAAGAATAGTCACATGTATTTCACATTGCCCCTTCTTATTTCAAGTCTTGATTAAAAAATAATTGAGAACATTTCGAGAAGTTGTGGCTGAGGACATTTTGATGAGGCACTGGGCTTATGGGTCCAAATGTTTTACTTTTGCTCATCAGAACATGAGCAATTGGGTGCTTAGTGTTCTCTTGGGATGTCTTCCAATATCATTCATTTCAGCCAGGCTTTTGACGGCAAGTCAGGATTGCGGTTCCTAGCAAATATCTCAAGTTCAGATGACTCATTTTGTTTGAAAAGAGGTGTGTGAGGCTTTTAAGTCTGGTGTTTTTTTTCTCCGAAACCTAAAAGATTTATTGAGGGATAATGGATATAGTATGAACCACACATATTTAAATGTACAGGTTGATGAGCTTTAGCATAAGTCTGTGGAATCATCACCTCAAATAACTCCCCAATTTTCCTTGTGCCCTTTGTAATCCAGTCCTCGCTCCACCTCCACACACCCAGGCAACTTCTCATCTGCTGTCTGCAAAACTTCTATTCTGGACGATCCATACTTCACATCTAAAATACCTGCAGGAGGTTTTTCACACCCCCCCCCC